GCCCGTCGGGCCGGACGAGAAGGAGAAGGGCGCCGGGGGGGAGGAGAAGAAGGGGGCGGGCGAGGGCGGCAAGGACGGGGAGGGGGGCAAGGAGGGCGAGAAGAAGAACGGCAAGTACGAGAAGCCGCCCTTCAGCTACAACGCGCTCATCATGATGGCCATCCGGCAGAGCCCCGAGAAGCGGCTCACGCTCAACGGCATCTACGAGTTCATCATGAAGAACTTCCCCTACTACCGCGAGAACAAGCAGGGCTGGCAGAACTCCATCCGCCACAACCTGTCCCTCAACAAGTGCTTCGTGAAGGTGCCGCGCCACTACGACGACCCGGGCAAGGGCAACTACTGGATGCTCGACCCGTCGAGCGACGACGTGTTCATCGGCGGCACGACGGGCAAGCTGCGGCGCCGCTCCACCACGTCGCGGGCCAAGCTGGCCTTCAAGCGCGGGGCGCGCCTCACCTCCACCGGCCTCACCTTCATGGACCGCGCCGGCTCCCTCTACTGGCCCATGTCGCCCTTCCTGTCCCTGCACCACCCCCGCGCCAGCAGCACTTTGAGTTACAACGGCACCACGTCGGCCTACCCCAGCCACCCCATGCCCTACAGCTCCGTGTTGACTCAGAACTCGCTGGGCAACAACCACTCCTTCTCCACGGCCAACGGCCTGAGCGTGGACCGGCTGGTCAACGGGGAGATCCCGTACGCCACGCACCACCTCACGGCCGCCGCGCTCGCCGCCTCCGTGCCCTGCGGCCTGTCGGTGCCCTGCTCCGGGACCTACTCCCTCAACCCCTGCTCGGTCAACCTGCTCGCGGGCCAGACCAGTTACTTTTTCCCCCACGTCCCGCACCCGTCAATGACTTCGCAGAGCAGCACGTCCATGAGCGCCCGGGCCGCGTCGTCCTCCACGTCTCCGCAGGCCCCCTCCACCCTGCCCTGTGAGTCTTTAAGACCCTCTTTGCCAAGCTTCACGACGGGACTGTCCGGGGGACTGTCTGATTATTTCACACATCAAAATCAGGGGTCTTCTTCCAACCCTTTAATACATTAACATCCCTGGGACCAGACTGTAAGTGAACGTTTTACACACATTTGCATTGTAAATGATAATTAAAAAATAAGTCCAGGTATTTTTTATTAAGCCCCAACCCCCCCCTCCCCCGCCCATTTCTGTACGTTTGTTCAGTCTTTAGGGTTGTTTATTATTCTAACAAGGTGTGGAGTGTCAGCGAGGTGCAATGTGGGGAGAATCCATTGTAGAATATAAGGTTTGGAAGTCAAAATTATAGTAGAATGTGTATCTAAATAGTGACTGCTTTGCCATTTCATTCAAACCTGACAAGTCTATCTCTAAGAGCCGCCAGATTTCCATGTGTGCAGTATTATAAGTTATCATGGATCTATATGGTGGACGCAGACCTTGAGAACAACCTAAATTATGGGGAGAGTTTTTAAATGTTAAACTGTAATTTGTATTTAAGAAGCATTCGTAGTAAAGGTGCCCAAGAAATTATTTTGGCCATTTATTGTTTTGTCCTTTTCTTTCAAAAGCTGTTTTTTTTTCTTTTGTTTACTTTTAGACCAAAGATTGGGTTTTAGAAAATGCACTTGGTGTACTAAGTATTAAAAAAACAAACAAACAAAAAAAGGAAAGTTGTTTCAGTTGGCAGCACTGCCCGTTCAAATGAATTGGAAGGGGACAAAATTAATGATTGCCTTCAGTTTGTGTTGTGTATATTTTGATGTATGTGGTCACTAACAGGTCACTTTTATTTTTTCTAAATGTAGTGAAATGTTAATACCTATTGTACTTATAGGTAAACCTTGCAAATATGTAACCTGTGTTGCGCAAATGCCGCATAAATTTGAGTGATTGTTAATGTCGTCTTAAAATTTCTTGATTGTGATACTGTGGTCATATGCCCGTGTTTGTCACTTACAAAAATGTTTACTATGAACACACAGAAATAAAAAAATAGGCTAAATTCATATATATCTTGATACTTTTGTCTCTTTTATTAAGTAGAGCTAATTTTTTAAAAACCATTAAAGTGCTAGGGAATTCAAAGGCTTTTTCAGCCCACTAAAATTTAGACTGCTCCTTTCATTTAAAATTGAGACTTTAAAAATGAAAATAGTATTTTTTTTCCATTGTGGAGTCAAATTTTACGAGGAGCGGGCTATTTAATAAACACTAGCTTTAAACAAAGTGTAGGCTTTTCAACTGATATCTTTAAGTTTCTGTAGATATACAACATAAAGAGATAATTTAATTTTATGTGCATAGCTATTTACCTTGTGTTTATTTTCAAATCAGTTAATAGAATGCTTTTTATATATTTTGTTTCAGGTATCTTGTTTATAGCACTTGGAATATTATAAATAAATATATGTATATGGTTAGATAGCAGTGAATATAATACACACATATGTAATATATATAGACACACAGAACCCTTCAGTTCAGATACAATTTGCGCTATGAATGCTGCAAATATTTTTGTTTAAATATTTGTATTTATACTTTCTAAGTCAGCATTTATTTTTGTGGCTGTTTATCCACAATGAAAGAGTTCTAATAAAGATGTGCTGAAGTTGCAATATAGATTTTGCTGAAGTGATCACCTGTTGTAATGAATTGCAGATCAATGTTTATATTTTATTTTTAAATGATAACAATTTAAAATTCTAGATGTTCAGAAGCAAAATGCCTCTCTCATTTTCTTTCATTTTTACAATATAGAGGTATTTGATTCCCTTCTAAATGTCTGTATAACCTAGAGATTTGTTCCTTTTGCTTAGTCATAATTTTAACTTGCAATATACATATGCATGCATATATATGCATATATATACACACACATATATATATATGCATATATAAAAATCTGAAACAAAATGAAAACAATTTTGAACTGTTTCAGCAGCCCAACTGCTATGACTCCAGAAAATAATTAGAAAACCTAAGTAAAAGGTTTAGTAACTAATTGGATCCTGTGGTGAGTCCGTGGAGGACAAGTTGTTCATTTGTTACAATTGTATAGTCTGAAATGTGTTCTGCAGTAATGCAATAAGCTGGCTACTTCTTACAAAGGGCCCAATGAAAAATAATCTGTCCCCAAGATGTTATCGGCAAACACTTAGAGAGTTGCTCAGGGGAAAAAAAAAAAAGCCTAGGAGAGAAGCAAGGTGACTCAAATAGATTTGAAATAGAAATGCAGAATAGTTAATATTGGGACACGGGGGTGGGTGGGTTGTGAATGGAAGATAGAGGAACAGAGTGAGAGAGAGGGAGAGGAGAGAGAAATAGGATCTTTCAAGTTAAAAAAAAAAAGTCCCCCAATACCAAAAAGGGGAGAGAGAGAGAGAGAGAGAGAGAGAGAGAGAGAGAGAGAGAGAGAGAGAGTTTGTTAGAGAGAGGAGAGGGCCCTAAGAAAGACAGAACGATATAGGGGCCAGGAAAATTAAAAGACCTGGAACAAATTTATACAAATTGGGAGTAGACCAAAATAGACTTAAGACAGCTAGCTTAATTATCTCCTTTAAGCAGACTGGGCTTGATTTTATTTTCTTCCTATGAGAGCAGTTTCACAAAAGGTCCAAGTTCCTTGAAATTTAACAGTTTTTCAGAATGAAGCATGAAAGAAAATTCCACAAATAAAGTTGGTTTAAAAGGCAAATTTATGGCTTATATTAAAAATAGTGATAGAGTCCAAATGAATGAGGTTAGGCAAAGGAGGTCCCCACCACACATTTGTGAACCAAAACAGCTCAAAGAAAAGCATGTGTTTAGACTGAAAAAGGTGATGATGTATTGTTTGCTTTTACCATGGATTTTATTTGTGGAATGAGAATGTACTGGCACAGAAGAAATATAGTCTTTTGCCTATCAAAAGTTAAAGGAAAGTTGAACTATATTGAGGTAAAGGGACATAGATATAGAAGAAAAATTTCCCCCTTGAGTATTTTTTTCTGGACGTATTAAATAGCAATGTTTACTTGTGATAAGTGTTTATTTGCCTGGTTGAGAAATAGAATTTCAATGGCAAACGTCAGACTTTGAGGACAAGAGTAAAATTTACTTCTTTGATTTCATAAGAACTGAGGACTGGAGTGCAAATTCTACTTGGGTACATGTACAAATTACTTATATAATGGATGTGATTAGAAGTAAGAATAGCTTGTTTAATAGGCATACTAGATATGAGGAGGTGGAAAGAGAGAACTTTGTGAAGGCCTCCAGCAGCCCAATGTGAATATTTCCTTTATCTCTGTCTGTCCTATCATCCCTTAAATTATCTTCTTCAAAAACACAACAGTTTTTAGCATGGCATTTAATGATTTTTTTGCAACAAATTGGTTGTAATTTTGTGTTGATCTTTGTTGTCATCAACCTTTGCCAGTTAAAATTAGCTCATGCCAGAAAAACACTTCAAAACTTTTTGAAGCTTTTCTTCTTTCATACTTATAACTTTTTAAAATGAGATGGTTTGCTCTTTTTGAAATTTTGGAACTGAAAGTGATCACAACTTAAAATTTGAAATCTCAAATTACGGTTTATTTCCAGGTTTAAAGTATTTTACTTGAATTTGTCTGGTATAAAGTGGATACAAATTATAAATAAAACATTGAGAAAATGATTCAGTTAAACTAGAACAGTGAAAGGATTCTTCCAAATATATTTCTTCAACTTGTTACAAAATTGGGAATCAAGTGAACATAAAGTCAAGAAATAACAAGATTTAATACAAATATCTTTATGATCATATAAGATTTCATGTGGTTTCTATGACTTGCATAAAATTTAGGGTTAGAGAGGCAAAAACAAATGAATCTTGTAGTGTATTGATTATATATATATTTAAATTGGTGGATATTTCACCCTATGGATAAAGCGAATATATTTTCGAACTAATATAAATGTGTTTTTTAAGTGTTATCTACAACATTGTTGAGGAATTCGAATGCATTGAAGTAATTTTGCTTTTGAGAAATGCATTTTATGACTAGATAAAGTGGCTGGTTGTGTTTGGGACTAAATGCCTGTTGGAGAAATAGGCCAACAAAGGGTGAAGGTGAAGATCATTAGAGGTTTTAGAGCTGGCTGAGACGGGTTGCTGGGGTTGTGTAACTGTGCCTAGAGGGCGGGGTTCCTGTACATTCCTACTTCACCAGATAACCTGCCCCCAACACCACTCCAGCGTCTGCCAGACAGATGGAACTCTCCAATATGAAAATCTGCGCAGCCATTCCAACAAGCAGGGTAGGTGAAACGTGAATTAAAATTCTACCCCCCTTTTTTTTGTTTTTCTTCTTGAAGCTAGATCCTGGAGATATGGGAAGAATAGGGGTCATCTAGATCCTTCTTTTGCGCATACACGCGTCTCTGCGTTCTTACAGCTACCTACCTGTAAGAGTTCAAAGGCGCTTTCACAGTACTTCATTCTTGATTTTCTTTTGCATTTTCTTTTCTCTTTAAGTCTTTCTTTTCTCATCCCAATCATTCCCCCCTTCCCTACCCCCTCTCCAGGGCCTCCCTTCCCCGCCCCCCTTCCCCCCAACCACCAGCAGTTAAAATAATCCATCTCTTGGTTTTCGGCCCCCAAACCAATCTTTTCCCCACTGTAGCGGTGAGTTTCCCGGGACCTTGTCCTGAGGATGTAGGCCAAGGTGGCTCCGGGGAATGTGTGATGTAGTATTATGTTCTGAGTCTGTTTTCTCCCTTCCGATTTCTGTTTTTTCCCTCCACCCAAGACTCTGCGCGAGGTTGTGGGTGTCCGAAAGATGCGGAGGAAAAAGACTTCAGGACTGGGAGCGCTCTTACCCCAAGATCGGTAAGTGAAAGTGGTTTTCGGAGGGGAGGAGGGCTACGCCTGACTGCTTTTGATTGAGGCTTAAACCGCGATTTTGAGGTCCAGGGCTAAAGTGTTCCTTTTTTTTTTTTTTTGAAAAATTTCCTTAGCTGGACGTACCATCAACCACAATAGCTGAACGAATGCATGCTTTTTCCACGTCGACACAAAGTCACAGTGGTCCCTAAGAAAGGATGTAGACAGGACAAAGAGGGACCTGGAAAGAGTGAGGAAGGAAAACGGGAAGGGGTAGTGGGAGACAAATAGCTTCCAAAGTGCAAAATAATTTGTTTCGTGGAAATAGGATTTCTGAGTCTTACTGCAGCTGCGAGAATATCCTAAGTCGGCTCTCTTAACTTTCAAACCCATAGGTATTTATTTGCTCTCCCTATTTGAGCAAAAGCTGTTTGCTCGACTCGCCTCACTCTAAAGTTCTTTTTTCTTTTCCATCTTTTTTATTGGGGGCGGTAGAACGCCCCTCCTCCCCGTTTTCACACTAACACTGCCAACCTCCCCCAGAGCTGGCCCTCAGCCCGAAGCTCGGTGGCCTGGGTCAGGAAGAGGGGCCCCGCGGGGTTTAGCGGAACTGCCCCAGGTAGCGTGCGGCGCAGGACGGGGCTGGAAGGCTTCTCTTCCGCTTGTTCGAAGGACTGGGAAAGTGAGCACCGTTCTGGGCTTGACTTTCTCCCTGCTGGGAATATCCCAGTTCCCGGCTTTGGGAATCTCAGGCAAATAATTGATTCTTAATGCACACTTAGGGGACGTCAGTGTAAGCTCGACAGCCTGGCTGTCCCGAGAGTGGCTGCGAACACGCCAGACACAGGCTGGCTGGGCCCGAAGCAAATTTGGGGCCCCCGCGGCGGTTTCCTATTAGCGTTCCCAGCGCATCAGGGATCCCTGGATGAGAGGCATGACGGCCGGACGTGAAGTCCTTGCGGCAGGGACCCGGCAGCGTGGTTTTTTCGGGGTTTGGAATCATGTAGAAAAGTGACTTCGGCTGCAGAGTCCCGGCGGCGTTGGCGGCGCCGCAGCCGGGGAGAAGAGGCGCTCTCGGACTTGACGGCCGAGGGGAAGCCGGGCGCTGCACAGGGAGCAGCAAGGTGAGGGCGCTCTTGCCCAGGACAAGCAGAGCTCTGCGTTCGGTAGCTCGCACTGGCTGATGCCAGGAAAATTGACTCCAGAACCTTGGCTGGCGTGCTTCCCCACCGTTTTCCTTTCTTCTTGTTCATCTGTGTTATCCCCCTTTTCCCTTTCCCCCCTAAAAGTTGTCTTTTGTTTACTTGGTACAGTGTCAGATCTCAGCACTTATCTGCTAGTTGATAAAACTGTTTTCTATGTAATAGACATCTTTTTTTCTTTCCACTCCCTACTCCTCTTCCGCCTCGCCTTCTACCCCATTTTCCTTTTCTGCTCAACCCTGTGGTCCAAAGTGGAAAGGCTCTTAAGGAAAATAGGTAGCCTTGGGGGTGGAAACTCCCTGAACACTAAGGGTGGCCCTGGGTTGGGGAGAGGGAGGCAGGGGTTTGGTGGGCATAGCATCCCGTGTGTGTGTGGGAGATTCTCGGACGGTGGTCTTCAGCCTTGGAAACACAACGGAAAGGAAAGGACATTGCAGAATAGAGCTTATCCACTTCTGATGTTCCCCCCATCCCCCTAAGACCCAATTTCGATGCTTCAATCATCCTCACGTGGCCCTCTATCAAAACTTGAGGCAGGCAGGAATTCAGAAATTGTTGTAATCAGGAAAGGCATTTAAAGGACCTTTAAAATAATAACAAATAACTCAAAATTATGTTTGTGGGAGTGGGAGGGGAGATAAGATGCACCACATCCTTTTCATGGTCTGTTGCCTAATGTATAATCCTCTACCCTGGTCTTCCGCCTTTCGGAAGAGCTGCACTGGAGGAAAGCACATTGCACATTATGATATTAGGAGATTCGTGTCTGAATAAAAAGTGTTGAGTTGCCAGACACGTTAGGATACTCATTTTTGCCTTAGGTTTAATTTTCCTACCCAGGTAGCGCTCCCTGAATGGCGTCGTCTAATTCAGTTTTATTCCCCTTTCTTCCCCTCTTATTGTCTCCTTCTTTGAATCAGAGTGCACTGAAGGTGCAAACATCTTCCTCCAGGTCTGGATGGCCAGGCTTTGTTGATCCATTGATTGAGCAGGAAGACTAGACACTGTAGTGGGTTAGGGAGAACTGTCTCTCAGTCCTTTCATTTTCTCACTGCTCCAAAATAGCGACCTGATCATTGTTGTTTGAAGTTACATTATCTGTTAAATTAGCCCTAAATAATAACGGATGATATTTTCCATTTGGATCTGGTTGCCCTTGAATTCTTTTCCCTAGATGGGAAGGAGAGGAGTCAAAGACAATGCTTGATCATATGAAAATGAATATAATCAAAATCAATATTTATGTGCTGGTGATATTATGTAAGAGAAATCACTTTCAAAGAAGCTGAATTTCATAAATAAATTCTTTTAGAGGCCTATGCTTCAGAAGGACCACACTAATTCAAGGATGAATGTAAATAAACATCTTTGTTGATTAAAAAAATATGAACACCATATTTTCATTACTCTACAAAATCTAAATACTCAAACTCATCATATACCGGTGCTTGCTAATCTAAATTAATTCTGTCCTCCAGGGATAAATATTCTCAAAAAGGAAATTTAACTTTAAGCAAAATCTGAAATGTTGTTTTAGATATGAATTTCTAGAAATCCAAAGTATATTTATTTCTTTGAGTCAGACACTTGTTTGTTTTGCAATCATTATATGAAACAATTTTGGAATAGCGCAGATGCTCCTCCCGCCCCTTGTTTCAGATTGCTTGCATATGCAGGCTTGGGCATGAGGGCTTCCAGGGTATATTAAAGAAATGACATTTTTCTTATTTGTTTTAACAAAAGGCCCAAAGAATCTTTAAACCCAACGGTATTAGGTAGTTGAAAAAAATCTTTAAAAATAATGAGCACTATTGTGTTTTTCCTATTAAAATGTGCTGAATGAATAATTAGAGGCTATGATGAAGGTTGAAAAATTCAGAACAAGGATAAGGTGATCATTTTATTATTTAATACTTTTATAATTTTTATAATTAGTGATGTAAAGTTGGCAAAGCTTTCTTAGAAAAAGTAGAGTACTCCTCCTACTCCATCCAAAGTACTTCAAACAGAATGAAGTAAAATCAGGTAGAACTGGCAGCAGCGCTTGCTTACTTATTTATTTACTTACTTATTCCAGTAGTAGTGATAGTATTAGTGGAGTTGGAAAATATACTTTTAATTATACATTTTGAGCTCTGATTGCAGGTTGGAAGACTAAAATCGATCATTCCTACATCGATAGTGTTGTCTATTACTGCATTGATTTGTGTTTATTTATGCAGAGGCTTTCGGTTATTTACTTACATATTTCAGCATCTGCCTCTTGATTATTATCACAGGTTGGTTTTAATGAAAGCACTTTTATAGGAAACACACTTGACAGATCAATTTTAAGTAAACCTGATAGGGAATTATGGCAACCCAAAGAGTTTATGAAATTACTTATTCGTACTTGCTTTTTAGCAATTAGGAACCTGTTTCTGATTAAAACCTCGTGCTATTTGAAAACTTCTGTTCTTCTTTTGTAGTGACGTATTTCAATAAAATAGAAAAACAGATAATTTTATGGTGTCAGATATGATAGAATGAAACTGATGAATAAAAGCCTTGTTGTCTTTTTTCTGTTGGCATGACTAGGTTACCCTAATAATAAGGTGGCTGCTGGGTTTACTAATGCTTTAGATGAAAAATCAAGGAGCAGCAAGATTTGAATACAGAAATGGCCTTGTTTTAAAACATGCATCGACTCTAAAATTATGCCAGGAGTACTTATGCTGAACAGGATACTCCAGAGTTCTTCAGTACATATCAAATACATACACTCATCTATTCTATTATTTAGTGTATGTGGGCCATTATATCTTATAAAGATAGGCATTTCTCTTGAACTAATAGCTCACTAGTGAATGTTATGCATCAGGGCTCATTTGAACAAATAAGACAACCAAAGACCACGGGGTGTGTCTTACACGTACAAGGCAATAGTGGGAGACTACGATGCTTTTGATGCTTTCGAGTTTGTGCTTCTCTTATTGTCATTACAAAATGCTGAAAGATGACTTGGTAATTTGAAAGTAAAAGTAGCATAATTTATCAAGGGCTATTTACTCCTCGTTTTATAGGACTTTTCCTGCTGTTTGGAGGATGAATCTTTCCTTTCTAATTATTTGGAATACATCTACCAAATACAGTTTACAGTCCTATTCTTTCTCTCTTGAGCTCCCCCATCCCCTCCACTATTTGCGAGGAATATAGGGAGGAAAATTAACCGAATTCTTTCTTGAGGACGAAAGGGCCTTGGGAGATGGAAAAGGAATTAATCTCCTCACCCTGGCGAGGTTTCCTGAAACTACTTAACCTCAGCATCTGCGCTGTGAGAGGTGGAGCCTCGCAGTCCGGCGGCTGCAGACAGGAGGTGGGCGAGCCTGGGGACCTCAAGCTTTGCAGAAGGTTGAAAGGAGGAACGGAGGGAGAGCTTTGAGTTTGTTTATTTTATTTTTCTGTCCTGTGCCAAGCCCTTGAAGCTAACACAGGAACATGGCCCTTTAGGACCAAGCACTCTTGGCATTCTTTCGAGATTGAGATTCCAGCGCAACGGATGAACAGGACTTAAATCTAGGGTGTGCTCACCCATCCCTCCCTCCGTCTTTTCACGCACGCACCAGCTCGTCCTCACGTGTATCACCGTAGTGGACAGTGTTGACTTGAATTGCTCTTTCTCGCTCCAAGCCTTTCCTATGAATGAACCCGAAAACACTCGACAGGTCGTGAATAATCGTTTTAATGAGTGTGCAAAGCGTGCGACGGGGTGCACCGAGCTGTCGGGTTAAACAAACAACTTGTTCCCTGACCAAATCCGATTGTCAAAGTGCAAAGTGATGTCAGTACTATTTCCATTGCCCTTCGGAAAACCACAGATCTGATACACGGGCGTCCAATTTTCTCCATTAAAGAAAAATAACAATATTTTCCAACCGTATATGTGATCTTTAATATTAATCTGAGCCAAACAAAACCTCATTTGAGAGCCAGAGAAGTAGTCATTGTCGCTGCCTCAAAAACAAATCGAAAGAAAAGGAAAACAAGGAAGAAAAATATAAAAAGTCTGAGAATTTTTTGATAGCTTACACATCATTGCTAATCAATATTGTAAAAATCTTACCTTTATGTATTTTATATAGCTCACTAGAGGCAAATACCAAGTTAACTGTACCTAATCAACTGGGAATGGTAATTTGGTCCTGTACTAAAACATTCTCTGAACTCCTAAGGACTTTTTCTATTGAAAATTGAACGAAAATATTTGCTGTTTATGTTAACCTGTGAGAAAATGAATGGATAAGTAGTTCCCACATTTATGCTTTCAAGGAAGACAGTTTGCAGGGCAGTAATGGGAAAGGAACCCTGATGGGCCACCATCTAAAACAATAACAAAAAGCACAAGTGAGTTCTTCACAAACCACACTGTCTCCCCGCCCCCACCCCCCCTTTTTGCACAACCGCACTGGGGAAACATTCTGCATCTTTCCCATCCAGTGAAAAGATCTACTTGGAATCAGCTGCATGTGCTCCTTTCCTTGTTCATTTTTAAATCTTTCACAATTACAAACATCAAAAACCACATGAAAAATAAGAAAATAAAACCTCAAAAGATTTTTCAAAAATCCCTTTTACATATGCCCTTTACAAATTTTGAGGGGAGATGTGTAAAATGTTTTCCCTGCCAGCATCCTATATACAGTCACAAACAAAATGGCCAAGATGCTTGAAAATCAGTGTGTTAATTCCAATTAACTAGCTCCTTTAACTCAAAAACAATATAGGAAGAGTAAGGTTTATATTTTCATTGGATTAAGTACTATAGGTTATGTATCTTCTTTGTTAAAGATAAAAAACATATTATGTCCTACAGTCTGAAAGGTTATCTGTCCTCTAGTAATTGTAATCAGCTTGTACAAATGAAATATTGGGGATATGGCACACAGAAGATGGAAACTCAGCAGCATTTAATCACTCAGCTCTTACTGGCCATACTGTCGTCTATACATCTGTCAGTCTTTTTGATCATCTATTTTACACATGAATGTCAATATACAACTGATTGCAATTAAATGAATTAATCCACCTAAAACATATAACTATTTGACAAAGTAAGCAATTTCTTATGGGAGTCATAGTTTTGTTATTATGGGTGCTAGTTTTTATATATCTGTGTAAGTTTAACCTATACTGACTTAAAATGGAAAGTACTGAAATTCAGTTTCCATCATCAAAACTTGGAAAAGACAACCAGTAGTTTAGGACAGTGATTTTGTTGATTTTAACTGTTATCTAGTGAATGTATCAGAATATCAATTCAAAATAGTCTTTATTTTCTAGGAAATTTGACAAAAATGACTATCAAAAAGTAGGGGCTTGCATTTTTCATTGTTTTCACTATTTTGGGGATACAATGGACTGTGAAGTTGTTCCCTAAACAGTTTTCTTCTCTGTGGGCTGACTGAGTTGAGGAATTTTAGGAGTCAGTGAAAAAGCCACATCCATTTCTGTTTTAGATGCACAAACAGCAAAGCTCGAGGGTGGTTGTATGTGTGTGTGTGTGTGTGTGTGTGTGTGTGTGTGTGTGTGTGTGTGTGTGTGTGTGTGTGTGAATTTAAAGAACTACACTATGAAAACATTAATTATATTTGAAAGAGAGCAGAGAGCTTGTTGTGGAGAGAACTGCATTACTGAAGTTATATTCCATGGAACTTGTCTGTGGAGAGAGCTGAAATTGTATACCTGCCTTATAACAAGAGGTGCAGTGAGGTGCATAACAAGAGCAAAGAGATGAAGGAGGCAAACTTGGAGGGGAATGATCTTAGCTATCTGAGTGATCCTAAGCAGAGTGAATCCATGTGCAGATGCAAATCACGTGGAGAACACGCACGGGGTCTTTGTTCTCTGTCAACAAAAACAAATATATATTTTTTCCTCTACCAAGCAAATCACAGAATGATCTTAGCTGAATTTGGAGGAGGGGGAAAGGTTGAGAGACTAAGACTATTTCAATTATCATATTTATGATTCCCAAGTCCTGTTTTTTTTCACAGCTGCCAAATTTTATATCCAAAATTTAGATTCCCTTCCTCCCAAATCCTACATTGGTATGAATCATCCCTGATCATTTTTAGTTTTTGGCTTAATAACTAGTTTTCAGCATTAAATTACTGATAAACTAATTAATCTGACTAATGTTCCTAAACTCCTGTTGAATAGTATAATAGATGCAACAACACAAATAAAATCTGCAGCAATAATGACAAAAATAAAATGTTAATAATAATAATGCAAACAATAATAGTGGAAACAATTTTAAAATAATTTCTCTGGCTGACAGGATGAAGATGAAATTTGTGTTTCACGACTGTAGTGGGGCAATACTCTGATTTCTTGTGTCACTGGTTAAATGAATGATCCTTCCAGCCCAACTCAAGTGTTCTAACTGAGACTTCCTTGGTTTAATATGGTAGATCATTTTACTGGCACTGAGTACTTTTGTACCCACTAGTCTTCATTGCTACGGGCATGTCCCCCTTGGACACCATTCAGAAGTAAATCAACCTGGGAATGAGAGTGGGAGCAGAGGCATAAATGTGAAGGGATTCTTGAGTAGAAGGACCTGGTGCCTCTGGCTGGAGCTTTGCTGGTGAATGGGCAAGTTGTCATATGTGGGAATCATGTTCTCGGAGCTAAGGAGTTTGAGATGGACAAAGTACCTCCGTTATGAGGTTCCTGTGACTGACTCCAAAGTGAACAGTGGCCTTGAGAAAACCAGGCCATGGTGCAAGACATAAAAATTAGGAATTAGGTCCCCTTGGATGAATTCTTTTGATTTCTTTAGGGATGGATAGAAAGGGGACAATGAAGTGAAGGGAGGAGACCAGGTTGAAGATTTAACTGGTGGTGATGTAGCTAGAAAAGCTAAGCACATCTCCTCACGAGGAAGGAGAGGTGCTTTTGTCAATTGTAAACCTGCCAAGGTTTATTGTTCTAGGTGCAAGAACAGCCACCAGTTTCTGAGGCTAGGCTGGAAAGAATCTGCCAGTGAGTCTGTATCTGCAGAAATCTCTCTTCTCAGCCCAGTGTTTTCCCCATCTCCTGAGCCCCCTGTATCCCCACCAAAGAAAAAAGAAACGAAAGAAACTAAAAAGTAGGTGGGGAGGGAATTAGACTCAATGTTTGTCAGGCAGATGTTGGGGTTAAAGCAGGTTGTTTGATAAGTGCCTTCATTTGTGGAGGGGAAAGAAAGCTGGTTAGTAGAGGAAGGGCGTTTGGTTATAGGAGAAGAAAGTGAAGACTGAGACAGAAATTCCCTGGCAGCCCAGCGGCTAGGGCCAAATGGAAAAGGACATTAGCTATAGAAGGGCAGTCTGGGAAGCAAGGAAGCTTAACTGTTAAATATTTTTGCTTTGCTCTGTTTTCCTGTAAATTACTGTAGTCCTGAAAATTTATGAGAAAACAAAATCTGCATGCTTTGTTAAGAAACAAATTACAAAAAGAAAGACATAACTATCAATACTCAGTTTTGTCCTCTAGAAAACTTTCTTCCCTTAGATATTGTCTTCAAACACACACACACACACACACACACACACACACACACACACACACACACACACACACTCCATAACTAAACCAAACAGTAGTTAAAGGAAGAAAGGGAGGGGAAAAAAGGACGCAACTTCCCTGCTGGTTGTACATGCATCCACCTCTTCACCTTTCACAGCAGGGAGGCGGAACAATTCTTTTTCATTTCCATCTAGTCTGTACACTTACAAAAGTATGAAAATATTCCAGTTTATGAGAATATGATTTCACTAAAGATTAGCAAAGATCAAGGAGCTTTCATTTCTAGGGATAAATTCACTGAGGTGATGCTTAGTCTGCAACGGGAGAAAGGCAGCTTTGGCTGCAACTGTGTATTGCTCTGCTCTTCAACGGTAGCCCAGGCTTTTCCCCTGCACTAAAAATAATTAATAACTAAGTTCATTTCCGCTCTCCCAGAAGTACAGCTCTGCAACTTGAACTCAAACTGGAGTTTTACATATAAAATCCAATTCTAATATAAAATAATACTTTAAGGACAATCTTCTCAGTTATTGTGATTGTTTTTCATGTGTTTGAATGGTCTCTGGTTAAGACAATTAAAGATAATTAAAAGAAGTCAACAATGACAGTAAAAGTGGCCTTCAATCCTGTTATATACACCCCCCAAATATGGCTGTTAAGAACTCATTTTCAAAAATTTTGGTTTTAATTGTATATAACTGAGAACCTCTGAGTCACTGGAGACATGCCTAACTAAAAAAAAAAAGTTAATACTTTGTAGTGAGAATATTTGACAGAAAGTAAAGAAACAATAAGAAAAGTTATTTCACAAAGTAGTAAAAGTCATGCAGAATTCATGTGCACTCAGTTTATGTACCCATTTAACAAAATTAATAGGCTTCTATATTCTAATCTTAAAAAATCTTTAGCCAACATAAACCAGATATTTAAATGCTTATACATATGTATCATATATATCATGCTGCATAGTTCAAATATGTATGTTTATTTTATAGAAACTAAGAGCTAAACAAATATTAGCATTTCTGACTTTTTAACCACCAATAATTGGGGTTTATTTGTGATCTGTAAACACTAAAGGAAAGCCAGAACCATTACATTTTGTTTAGATTTTTATTATGAAGCACATATAGATTTCTTTCTATCTTGGGGTGTGCAAAAAGAGTAAGGAATTTAGGGGTAAGTGGAATTAAGATCTATATACATTTTCAGTAAACCAAGATGTAACTTCATTTTTTAAACATTAACATCCAACTAAATAAAAGAAATATATACAGTTTCAAAGACAGGAGAGGTAAGCCCAAGTCAAGCAATGCTCTTTCAGAAAGGGAATGGCTTCAAGCGATGCTCAATAA